AAGATGGGGAAAAGATACAGTAAATTATTCCTCTACCTAACATATCTCTGGGCATGACAGACAAACAGTGGTATCAAGTGGGTTACTTCTCTTGAGAGAGAGCACAAGATTTCAGCTATATATAGCTCCCTTTGGATAGCAAGTATAGGCAAAAAAGGGGAAAATGAAACCTCACATGGAACAAAAATCAACCTATTAATACATATTTAGAAAAGCTTTCTGCTGAGACCTTTCAAAGGGCTGTAAAGTGCCTCATTCAGATGAAGACAGGTATTCATAGAGTGTATCATTTAAACCAGGACACTTTTGAGAGTGAAAGGAGGTACTATTAGTAATTACTCCGGAATGGGGATTGACAAATTTTTTCTAAAAGGAGCCAGATAGTAACTATTTTAGAGGCCACATACAGTCTCTGTCACATAGTCTTCTCTTTCTTTTTAAATATTATTTAATTTTTAAAATATTTTTCATTATTTTAAATTGCTTTTAAATTTTTTACATTCCAAGGTATATAGACAAAGTTCAATTTTTTATCTTTTTTAAATATTATTTAATTTTTAAAATATTTTTCATTATTTTAAATTGCTTTTAAATTTTTTACACTCTTTCTTTTTAACTCTTCAAGAATGTAAAAACCATTCTTAGCCCAGACACCAGAAGAAAACAGGTCACGATACAAATTTGGCCTTGGGCTTGGGGTACAACAGACATCAGGTCTGTTCTGGTCAAATAGGTATGTATAGTCATCCTAGCTGAAGGCCTAATTTGTGATCCAATTCAAAATTTGGCATGAAGAATAAATATGTGTATTAATCATGGTTCTCCAGAAAAATAACCAATAAGTGAGATAATAGATGAAGAGACAGATAGATAAATAAAGAGATTTATTATAAGGAATTGGTTCATATGATTATGGAATCTGGTAAGTTCCAAGATCTGCAGAGAGAATTGGCAAGCTAGAGACCCAGCAGAGCTGATTGGTTTAGTTCCAATCTGAGTTCCAAGGCCTGAGAATCAGATGAACAAATGGGTCCAGTTTGAAGGCCAGCAGGCTGGAGACCCAAGAGCTAAAGTTTCAAGTCCAACAGCAAGAAAAAAGCTGATATCCCAGTTCAAAGGCAGTCAGGCAGGAAGAATCTTCTTACTTGGAGAGCATCAGCCTTTTAGTTCTATTCAGGCCTTCAACTGATTGTCACACTCACTTTGGGAAGGGCAATTTGTTTTATTCAGTCTACCAATTTAAATGCTAACCTTATCCAAAAACACCCTCACAAAAACACCCAGAATGATGTTTGACCAAATATCTGGGTACCTTGTGGCCCAGTCAAGTTGACACATAAAATTAACCAACACAGAATGTATATTACAAATACATGAAACAATCTCACTGAATGGGCTAGGGTAAGTATGATAACCTAAAAAACTTTGAAAATAAATGGAGTCTATAAGACTAAAGGCAAAAATACCTATACACAGCACCATACTACAGCTGATCAAGTTGTTTCCCATAGGGGCATATGGATTAACAATTCTGATACTGCTATACCTATACACTGGAATTGAACAATTAAGTAAATGGATAGCAGATGGTGGAAGCCAGGTTTCTCACTGGTGGAGTGGGAGGTTATAGCCAAGCAAAGGGAGAAGGCTAGAATGATCCACATGATGATAACAGATTAGAGTTGAAGACAATCAGTATGATGTCGCATTTAGCTCAATATATAGTCATCCCTCAGTATTTACAGGGGAATGGTTTCAGGACCCCCTGTGGATACCAAACTCTAAGGATGCTTAAGTCCCTTACATAAAATGGTATAGCATTTGCATGTAACCTACACATATCCTCCCACATATTAATACTTTAAATCATCTCTAGATTACTTATAATACCTAATGCAATGTAAATGATATGTAAATAGTTGTTATATTGTATTGGTCTTTATTTGTATTACTTTTATTGTTATATTGTTTTCATTTTTCTGGAATATTTTCCATGCACAGTTGATTGAAGAAGTGGATGCCAAAGCCATGAATATGGAATGTCAACTATAGATACACATGGTTACATAAATATTTATAAATATGTATATATACATATATACTTATATTTACTTGTTCTGTCACCTGAGAGGGTCTAGAAGCAATGACAATCCAGTAGCAACAAGCACATCTAGTGCCCAGATTTGGTGTCTGTGACCTTTCTCCAGCAAAAAGGATCCCTTAGAGAAACAGTTAATTCTAGGACTGAGGCAGGGAATACAGAAGATGAGCCTGAAGCATCTTGTAGTGCCAAAAAGTAAAGAAGTGCTCAAAAAAAAAAAAATCCCAAAACACTCCACAATGATAGGAGTATGTCAAAGAGAGGAGTCAAATGGAAGAGCTCCCAAGGCCAAAGTTGGAACCATCTGAACAGGCAAATAAAGTAGTATTAGATTATAACTCAGAGTGTAAAATAAATACCCACGACTGTATAAATAAATGAATAAACAAATGGGTAATAGACAAATCCCCCCATACATAGAAGAATTCCAAATAACTTATGTAGATAATCCACCTCAAGGATGTGGAAGATAATTCCCCATTGCTTATGTGTGGATAATGCATAGTGACTTCCTTCCAAAGAGGATAGTAAGGAATGCAGGGGGAGTAACTTTACAGTGGAGAAATCTGACAAATACTGTCTCAGCCAGGCAATCAAGGTTTAACATCATCAGTGATAAGTAATGTTGATAGCACATATCCTTGATGTGATTCATGAGAATTACATGTTACCTCTATGGTCTTCCTCCTAAGAATACATAACTTCAGTCTAATTATGAGAAAAACATCAGATAAATACCAAATGAGGGGCACTCCACAAAATGATCAGTACTCCTGTCAAGGTCATCAGAAATAAAGAAAGTCTGAACAATTTAGGTAAAAACTAAGGAACTATGAATGAAGTATGGACTTTAGTTAATAATAATGTATTAATACTGGTTCATTAATCATAACAAATGCACCATACTAACATGAGATGCTTCATAATTTAGGGGACTAGGCGGGCGCAGTGGCTCATGCCCGTGCTAATTCTAGCACTCTGAGAGGCCGAGTCGGGTGGATTGCCGATCGGGTCAGGGAGTTCGAAAACCAGCCTGAGCAAGAACGAGACCTCCTCTTCTACTATAAATAGAAGAAAGTTTAATTTGGCCAACTAATATATATATGGAAAAAATTAGCCTGTGCTATGGGTGGCATCATCCTGCTTGTCCATGCTCTCGGGAGGCTGAGGCAGGGCAGGATCCTTGAGCCAGGGAGTCTGAGTTGCTGTGAGCTCAGGCTGACGCCACCGGCACATCACTCATAGGCCTGGGCAATCAAACGTCGGACTCTGTCTCAAAAAATTAATAATAATAGGGGAAATTGTTGCGGTATAGGGCTTTATGGGGAACTCTCTAGTACTATCTTTGCATTATCTTGTATATCTCAACAGCTTTCTAAAAACTTAAAGTTTATTTATTTTTTTTTGAGACAGAAGTCTTGCTTGGTTGCCCCAGGCTAGGATGGAGTGCCGTGGCATCAGCCTAGCTCACAGCAACCTCAAACACCTGGGTTCAGCGATCCTTCCTGCCCTCAGCCTCCGAGATAGTGAGACTGCAGGCCATGCCCCACCATGCCGGCTATCTTTTCTATATAATATTAGTTGACCAATTTAATTTCTTTTCTATTTATGTAGAGACGGGCGTTCTTCACTCTGGGCTCAGACTACTTTCGAACTCCTCACCTTGAGCTATCCGCCCGCCTTGCCTCCCAGAGTGCTAGGATTACAGGTGTGAGCCACCACACCTGGCCTAAAGTTTACTTTTTTTTAAAAAAAGTCCACTAAAAAAGAATAAGTATAATACAGTTCGGCTAGAAGAGATAGAGAGGCCCAGAGCAGAGGCAGTTTCTCTGGTATCTAAAGTCTTCTCACTCACACAACCAGTTGACACCTTTGACCTAATACACAGACTCTGAAGCCAGACTGCCTAGGTTTGAATTCTGGCTTTACCACTTACTACCTGGGTAACTTTTGGCAAATTACTTAGCCTCTCTATGAACCTCATCTCTTAAAAATAGGAATGATAGTTCCTATGTTGACATGTTGTAATAAGGATTAAATGAATTAATATGTATAAAGTGCTTAAATGAATGCTGGCACACAGTAAATTATATATAAATGTTTTGTAAAATTAAAAAAAAAAACTGTGATGACTAAAAGTTCATTTAGTAGTTAGCTATAATCACATAAGGTAAGGAGATGTGAATTTGGTTGTTATGAACCAGGTAGTGGTTGCCATAGATATGTCAGAACCCTCACAGCCATTGTTAGGATGTTGCCAGACCCTTTATAAGTGAAGGACTGAGTTGTGTGAATCTGCCAAGAAGGTTAGAAAGCACAATCTACCTTCCTATTACTTTATACATTTTACATCTTTCATCCAAAAGAACAAGTTCTTATCAGATAAAGAACCACCTCAAGGTAAGCAAAATATATCATCTTCATTTTACAGATAAGATATCTGAGAATGGTAGGTTTAACTTAGGTGATTTCTCTTCAGGCTACCCAGAAGAGGCACTGGAAATAAAAGATAGGATCAGTAATCCTTGGTTTAGTTTGTTTTCCCATTTGGTTATCCTATCTACCCTTCCTTGTAAAGGAAGAACTTGTGTGATGCCAATTTGACCCTTCTTGGTGGCACTGACAAATACAGAGAGCCCAAGATCAAGCTAGGAAGCTCTGCCAATTATCAGGAAATAGACATGAAGCTGTTACTGGCCTCTTCTCAAAGGTAGATGGATATCATGAAACTCAGACAATTAGGCTCTGGTGTTTCAGGCTCCAGGTTTTATCAGCTTCATGAGCAAAGCTGGAATAAGGTTGGTTTTGATCACAGGCCATATATAAGGTTTCCCTTTTGCTTGTGTACAAATTTGTTTATTTATTTACTTTTTATTTCAAAATATTAAAGGGGTATAAACATTTTGGTTACATATAAGGTTTCCCTTTTGTTTGGCATAAGCCAGAGCCATTCTCCAGGAGGTCCTTATGGGAAGTCTAATGATCTCCTAGGGAACGAGCTGTGTTCTAAGAAATGCTGTGAAATGTATTTGCGAGTGGCGATTTTCCAAAACAGTGTATGACTGGATGACTCTGCAGAACCCTGCTAAGTTATCCATTAATAAGCTGGCACGTAAATTGTGCTCATTAGATAGCGAAGCAAAGCCCAACTAAGCATCAACCGAAATGCTTTGCTAACCCAACCAGGGCTTCAACGTACAGTCATCCTTCAGTATATGGGCAACTGGTTCCTGGACACAAAACTGTACCAAAATTCATACATACTCAAGTCCCGCAGTCAGCCCTGTGGAACCCATGTATAGGAAAAGTTGGTTCTCTGTATACATGGGTTTTAAATGCCTGGAATATTCACATATAATTGGACCCATGCAGTTCAAACCTACATTGTTCAAGGGCCAACTGTAATTAGTTATTAAGGAAATGTAAATCAAAACTACAATAAGATACCTACCTCACACCAACTAGGATAGCTATAAACAAAAAAACCAAGTGTTGGCAAAGATGTGGAGAAATTGGAACCGTCTTGCATTGCTGGTAGGAATGTTACAGTCACTTTGCAAAACAGTCTGGCAACCTCAAAAGGTTAAACATAGATTTATCATATGACCCAGCAATGACTAGGTATGCACCCAAAAGAAATGAAACTTATATACGAATGTTTATAGGAGCATTACTCATAAGAGCCAAAACAATGCACATGTCTGGCAATTGATTTCTCATTTACTTTCTGCCCTTAACATTTAAGAAACATGAATCATGATCCGGCTACTAACCTCCTGCTGGTCTCGGCTAAGGACAACTGAGGAGGCACGAAGGTAGGATTACAGTTTTTCCCTATACCACTATTTCCTTCCATGTATCTGTCCCTCAAGGGACAAATCTGTATAATTACATATTGTTAGGGAAAGTGATTAAGCAGTGTCTGCAAGATTGGGGCCAGGGTGGAGAGATGATGGCCAATTCTATAACGTAAGTGAATCAGGGTAGAAAAGCATCCTTGGAGGCTTTGGGGAGGGGTTCCAATACCACCTTCTACTACTTTGGCTGGGGCTTTTATGGTACATGCATTGGGAGTAAGAACTGCAGGCAGAGTCCCAAACACTAAGGAGTAAAACTCTTTGTTTAGCTTACAAACTGTTTTTTAAAGCTTTGGCTCATTTTTCCTTTCCATTTCCAGGAATGTGACCATACTTTTCATTGGCTTGGACAACTCAGGCAAAACAGTTCTTGTGGAGGCGTTCCAAAGATGTAAGGAACTAAGAGCATTAGACACTGGTGTAGGTCTCCCATGGACTCCCGGGTCTAATTTAATAATCATTCCCTCCTAGCATTACTTCATGGCCCTCAGTTTCCCACTGTTTGAGGATAAATACCTCCCAATACACACATATGTGCCCCCCAGCCCCATCAGGTGTTATCAGTCTGTTTATGTAATGTCTGTCACCTGCTCCTTTCACAAGACATCCTAATTGAAAATCCTTTCATAGTGTTGGTATGAATGAACTCAAACTATGTAAAGCATTGCAGTCAATTATGAAGGATAGCATATTTGAAATGGCGTCTAGTTTCAGAGCTCAATTGAAGTGGAATTTGGTCTAGATAAGAAAGACAAGTGTGGGATGATAAAGAAGTTTAATAACATGAAACTCTTTGTGACAGCTAATATAGAGAGTTCAAGCTTGAGTAATGTCAGTTCATAGATGTGCAAGTTGAATACCAGATCTCTAGTTTAATATCTTGACATTTCAAAAAGCAGTTACACAGAATTTCAGGAAGCTTAACTATACTAGTTGTGAAGGCCCAGTTGACTACTAGTCAACCAAACAGGCCAGCATCATATCTGGCATTAGGGTGCCTTCCATCAATGCTTATTGAATAAATGAAGGGGTGGGATGACATGGCTAAGTTTTACATACTCCGGCAGCCCTCAGCAAAGAATGGGAAAGGGCTAACCTGACTCCTCTGCCACTGGCCTACTTGAAGCCCTCTTCAATTTCCTTGATGCGTTGCCACAGCCTTCTGGCTGATCTCGTCACCTCCAACTGTCTCCCCAGTATTCAGTCCACACAATTACCAGAAGGATTTAATGCAAATATCTGATTATAGCACTCCCCTGCTCAAAATTGTTCAATAGTTCCCTACTGTTTTCAAGATAAAATTTAAGTTCCTTAGCACCACACAAGGCCCTCCATGAATTGATCCCTGATTCCTCCTCCAGCTTCATTTCCTATGCTTTCCACATATGCCCTCTGATACAGCCAAAACAAATGCTTGCCTTCCCTCTGCCACCACTGCGTTCTAATTCACATGGCCCGGCATTCTGTACACACTGGCTCACTACCTAGCATTTCATCCCCACCATTATCTACTTGCTTAATCAAGTGCCTCAACTCACAGCATAGCCTGAACTCAGGAAAGCCTCACCTAACTCCCAGAGCCTCCTTCCTTGGCTCCCACTCTATTCCACGCATCCCTCTAGCACGTACTTATCACAATATCATCTCGCAACTGCAAGCACATTCCCTAGACTGTGAGCCCCTTGAGCAGAGGTAATGGATCTTTTCATCTCTGTATCTTTAGCCTCTATACTTTTTGCATCTTCAGGTAGGTACTCAATAAATATCTGTGGAACAGACGTTCTCCCCCATTCCACCATTCCTGAGGCTACATGCTGCCATTTTTCTAACTTTTTTTTCCTCTGCCCCACTGGCAGCTCCAGGCGCCACATTTTAGCCAGTGGTTCAGCCTGCTAGCCCTCCTTTTGACAGCAAATTTGACTCTTTGCTTCTCCCAGTTCTCTAATAGGCAGAAATGGTAAGAAGGTAAACAGCAGTAGGAAAAATCAAGAAGCCAGGATAAATCATAAAATTACTGATAAAAGTGGGGATAATTTTCTAGAGCCCCAACTCAGCCTCACCCCTGGATTCCCATTCAGTCTGGGTGGGAATATGTGAATGTATATTTTAAGAACACCCCAGGGGTTTCTGATAGCCAGCCAGCTTTGGGAAGCACTCATCTGGAATTAACTGTATGCTACTTTATGAGAACAGTGTCTCTTTTCCATTTTAATTCCTAGAGGACAATGTCTGGAGTCTATTTAATTTATTTTGTTACTGCATAACTTGCCTGGTGCTCAGTGAATACCCTGGGGGTGATTCATAAGTGTATTGGTTTATGGTTGCGACTACATTCACAGAGAATTTTTTAATAGGCCCTGATGTCACATTTTGAAGAATGTCTGAGGCCACCTCTTCCATGTAGGACCACTAGAATCAATCTAGTAGGTTGCTCTGTGTTCAAAATCAAATGGCTCACCTCCCCTACTCCTGCAAATTTTTTTTTTCTCAGCTTGTGGCCCCACTGATGAGATTCCCTCTGTCCTATACACTCCCGAAATGTTTTTAAGATGACTGCCAAGAACAGAAAATTGCCTGGGAAGGAAGTTCCAATCCATAAGTAGTAGCTTGTGTGCACATTTGAATGCCAGCTAAAACATATGTCGGCACACAAACCATTATTATTGATGACATCATTCACTATAAATGTTTTGCCTGGCATGGTCACATGGGGCAAGAAACTCAAGTGTGAGCTCAAGCAGGTGCCCTAAATGAGGACATTTAGACTAGTGCCTCTCAAACCAGCTATACATTTCAATTACCTGGGGAGCTTTTTAAAAAAACATGATTCTTGAGCCCCACCCAAGATCTATGGAATCAGACCCTCAGAGAATGAGGCCTAGTGTCATAGGTCTAAAAAGCTCCACAGGTGATCAGGGAGAACAGTGACTACTGAGAACCAATGACTAGAATCACCTGGGGAGCTTTCAAACCTACTTATCCTGGATGTGGAGATTCAAATGCTTCGGTCTGGAGAGGCCTCATGGAATCTACATCTTAACAAGCTGAGATGCTGTTAGATGATGCTGAGACACAACCAGGAATGAGTTTCCTGGCTCTCTCGGGCAGTACTCAAACTTTAAGGTGTAGAAGAATCACCTGGGATTTTGTTAACTATAGGGGGCTTGTTAAACATGCAAACGCTTGGATCCCAAGCCTAGAGATTTCAATTGATTTGCTCTAGGGTAGGCCTTAACAATCACCCCCATGTAACTCTGAAGCATGTGGTCCCCAAACCATCCTTTATGAAGCACTCTGCTAGGGATGTAGAGATGAATTAGATACCGCACCTGTCCTCAGGGTGTTTATAAATTAACAGAGGAAATAACAACTGCTCATGACATCTAGGGTTCACCAAAACCAGACTGCATTATTGAGAATTGGTAAGGATTCAAGTAGAAAGATAAAACTAGGGAAAATGTTGTTTTCTCTGACAGGGAAAAAAAATAATATAAAGCTTGTCTTAAAGCAGAAAACAAAATTTTAAAATTACCTTTAGAGTTTTAACCTATTCACTTATTATTATTATTATTTTGGGGGGACAGAGTCTCAATTGGTCACACTGGGTAGAGTGCAGTGGTGTCATCCATAGCTCACTGCAACCTCAAACTCCTGGGCTCAAGTGATCCTCCTGCCTCAGCATCCTGAGCAGATGAGACTACAGGCGTGTGCCACCACGCCTGGCTAATTTTTCTATTTTTAGCAGAGATGGAGTCTTTCTTGCTCAGGCTGGTCTCGAACTCCAGAGCTCAAGCAATCCTCCCACTTTGGTCCACAGTGCTAGGATTATAGGCGTGAGCCACCATGCCTGGCCCTTCACTTATTATTTTTAAGTAGTCTAATATACAGCAAGTATCACATCAAAGTTGACTGAAAATTATATGTTATCTGAAAGCTATAATTTAAAAGATTATTGACTAACATGATACCAGGTGTTTACAAAATCACATTAAAACATAATGATAATATATACATATACACACACATGTATATATACTCATAAGTGTGAGTGTAATCATAGATTTCCAAAGATCTGAAAACATACTACTAACTTCTCAGCTTAATGACTCATTTTGGCAATCCTATGGAAAATGTCACAGCAAATCTGAGACCACAAGAAGTCACTGATTTTGGTCTTATACTCCCAGATATGGGTGTAGAGAATCTATAAAATCATTTTGCTCCTAAGGTGGGAAGAGAGCTAGGTCAGAACGGTCAGTTCAACAGATTGGAATGCGTAAAAAAAAACAACAAACTGTCATTTTGAACTGCTTTTTTTTTAAATTTTTTTATTACAGCATCTGTATTGGGGGTGTGTGGTATGTATTTTGGGGTGTCTGATGGACCCAGGTGGGATGCTTGACATATTTTTGTGACACCTCAAAGCTTGTTTTGGGTATCTGGTGGCACCTGCTTGGATGTCTGATATGTGTTTGGGGTATTTGATGGCACCTATGTTGGGGTATCTGAGACCACCTGATAGGTATATGACTCATTTTATTCCCAGACCCACCTTTCTGGAGTCTAAGCTGCCCCTTCTTCACAAGTGACAGACTCCATCTGCTTCATTTCTTAGACTGTCCCCTCTCGGGCTTCCCACCACCAGAGGCATCCCCGTTGGCTACCCCCAACTCCAATGAGCCTCCAGGAGCCCGTTGACACTCCTCTTCCATGCACCTGTTGGTTGCTCCAAAGCACCCCACCAACCCCGCTGCGACCCCCGCCAAGAAATCCCCTAACCCCACTGTCCTCCGCAGGACGACCTCTCCAGCCCCACTAATCACTTAGGCCTCCGTTGACTCCCCGAATCCAGCTGATCTCAACTCAGGGTTCCCCTCAACCCCACTGTCCCCCCAGGACCCCGAAGCCTTGGGGTACCCAAGCCCTCAATGACTTCCTCCCCAATCCCCCCAACCCTGCTGACCTGTCCCTGAAGGGTCTCCCCCACCCTTGCTGCAAGCACCTTGCCCCTTCAGTCCCTGCGGCCCCCACAAGGCCGAGCGGGTGCCCCTGAACTGCTTTCCTATGGGAGCTGAATGAGGTACAGAATGCCCTATGGGATTTTATGTTCTGGCCACAGCTTTTAAAGGGAAAATGTGCCTGAGTCTGGCATGATGTTTTGGAAGAGATTATGTAGAAGACGACTTCATACCCTTATCCACAGTTAGCCACCATAAACATTTGTTGAACACCTACTGTGTGTTAGGTAATACAGAGGCTCTCCCTCAGATGGCTTATATTTTTAGCTAGGGAGACAAGGCAAGCACAGAAAGAGGTGAAGGACCAGTTTGAGAGACAGAGAGAGACACACACACAGGGAGAGGGAGAGAGAGGCAGGGAGGGAGAAGGAGAAAGAGAGAGGGAGGGAGGGAAGGAGAAAGGGAGGGACAGGGAGAGAGAGATTTGGGGGAGATATCTAAATTAAGTATCTGCATGCCAACTGCTGTGCTAGGCATCATGAATAAAACTGAAAGGGTTCCTGCCCTGTTGCAGTTTATAACCCAGATAAGTAAACCCTAGAATTTATAACACTGTATTATATACTAGGATAATGGTAAGCCCTGAAGATAGGCTACCTCATCCAGACTGGGAATTGTGGTGTGTGGGAAAACTTTCTAGAATAAACAAGGTTGAAAATGATATTTTAAAAAATAGGGGTTTGGCCGGGCACAGTGGCTCATGCCTATAATCCTAGCACTCTGGGAGGCCGAGGCGGATGGATAGTTCGAGGTCAGGAGTTCGAAACCAGCCTGAGCAAGATTGAGACCCCCCATCTCTACTATAAATAGAAAGAAATTAATTGGCCAACTAATATATGTAGAAAAAATTAGCCAGGCATAGTGGCACATGCCTATAGTCCCAGCTACTCAGGAGGCTGAGGCAGAAGGACTGCTTGAGCCCAGGAGTTTGAGGTTGCTGTGAGCTAGGCTGACACCACAGCACTTACTCTAGCCTGGGCAACAAAGCGAGACTCAGTCTCAATCAATCAATCAATCAATCAATCAATCAATCAATAAAAGAGGGGTTAAACAAGTAAAGAGTAGTAGAGTGCTCTAAGTGGAGGGAATGACATCTTGTGAAGACCCAAGGCAAGAAAGAACATGGCATTCATGTAGAGTGGAGGCAAAGAAGTAGAGGGAGGAACAAACTGGGTGTGTACCAGGGATAGTGTGGTTAGACCAGTCAGGTTAGAGTGCTAGAAGATGGGTCTTCCAGGTTAGGAGGCAACAAAATCTGTCTTCTATCTGGGAGCAGTGGGCACTCACTTAAGGTTACTGAGCCAGAAGAGTAAATATGGGCAAAGCAGTGGTTTAGGAAGATGAACCCGTGAATATGAGCAGGGTGGGAGGATGTTCAGAAGGATTTCTCAGAGCAGGCACTAATCAAGGTTCAACAAAATCTTTGACATATCTATATTTTCCTGCTTTGTGATTGCTTCTTCTCTCTCCCCCTATGTATAGTACTTCCCAGTAGGATAGACAATTGTGTGCAATCAGGACTGACTACACTCCTGTTAGATGAATATGAAGTTTCCATCTATGACCTGAATGGAGATCGGAAAGGCCGAGAAACCTGGCCAAACTACTATGCACGGGCACACGGGCTTGTTTTTGTCCTGGATTCCAGCGACATAGAACGCATGCAGGAAGTCAAGATCATCTTAACACGTCTGCTGTCTGATAAAAGAGTGGCAGGGAAACCCATCTTACTGTAAGATTCTGCCTTTGTGTCCTATTTTTCCTTCCCAATTTGTATCTTAAGTATAGAAATGAAGGGCTGGGTGGTCCCTTTGTCACACCCAGCCAGACCTCCTGTTCCCTTAGGCTTAGTGAGGTGGAGTGGCCCAGCTCTCTGGAGGCTGTTTTCAAGAGCCACTTTCTACCACACATTGCCATGGGGGACATGTTACCTAACTATACAAAGGTAAATTTGAAGGTAAGCATCAAAGGGGAACTGAGGCCGGGCGTGGTGGCTCACGCCTGTAATCCAAGCCCTCTGGGAGGCCGAGGTGGGAGGATCGTTTGAGCTCAGGAGTTCGAGACCAGCCTGAACAAGAGCGAGACCCCATCTCTACCAAAAATAGAAAAAAAATAGTCAGGCATGGTGGTGCATGCCTGTAGTCCAAGCTACTCGGTAGGCTGAGGCAGCAGGATTGCTTGAGCCCAGGAGTTTGAGGTTGCTGTGAGCTAGGCTGACGCCACGGCACTCTAGCCCGGGCAACAGAGTGAGACTCTGTCTCAGAAAAAGAAAAAGGAGAGGGAGGGGAATGGAAAGTGATATCTGGATCTACTACCCCCAATTCCTTCCTCAAGACTGCCTTCTTGAACTTTCTTCTAATCTTTTCTAGTTCCAGTCTCTGAAACTGAGACTTCATGGTGGCAGAGAACAACTCCTATTTTGTATCAATGCCAGTGGCCTATTTTCTGAGCAGATTGCTTAAGAGTTATGTAAACAGTACTTATTTCAGCGTGACAATTCGGGTGGCCAGTCAATTCTCACCTGCACCCCCCCCCAGCCCAAATCTCTTTTTTTTTTTTTTTTTTTTTTGACAGAGTCTCACTTTGTTGCCCAGGCTAGAGTGAGTGCCCAAGTGCCATCTTTCCTTTTTCATTCCTCATTAGCAACTCCAACTAGACCTTGAACAGAGTTTGGGAGGATATAAAAACTCCAAATCTGTTCATATTCCAGTAAGCAATTCATTCATATATTCTCTCTCTCTTTCACCTATTGCCTGTTCTAGCCTGGCAAATAAACAAGACAAGAAGAATGCCCTCCTACCTTGTGATATTATTGAATATCTACTCCTGAAAAGGCTAGTGAATGAGTACGATTCCTTGTGCCGCGTGGTAAGTTGTCAACCCATTCCTTCCCTCTTCTTCTTGAGCCCAGCCGAGACAGCCCTTGGCCC